AGACCACTGAGCCGGCATCCAATTGTGTTAGTGTCTAACATCAACCAATCCACGAAATTGCGCGACCAACTTCCATTGTACTGAGGTAGATACCTGTCTCTACCCAGTGGAGCTAATCCGTGTCGGGTAGAGACAGGTATCTACCTCAGTACAATGGAAGTTGGTCGCGCAATTTCGTGGATTGGTTGATGTTAGACACTAACACCATTGGATGCCGGCTCAGTGGTCTAATGGTTAAGTGCTCAGGCACGAAGCCAGTAGGTCCTGGGTTCGAATCCCGCGGTGTGTGGGATCGTGGATGCGCACTGCCGAGGAGTCCCATACTAGGATGAAACGGCCGTCCAGTGCTTCCAGGTCTCCAACGGTGGTCTAACATCAATTGATTCATGATCTTAACCAAAAAGTTATATATTTGTTAAGTAACAGATTGCGAATAAAAGATAATTACTTATTGTAAGTTAACTTTTAAATGAATAAATTATCAGGATGATTGCAGAAAGCAAATTCTCACTAGTAAGGTAATGTGATCTTGTTAATGAGATCATACCTATTTATTAAATCAGATGTCTTTTTGCTAGTGAATAAATTACTTTATTTCCAAATATATCGTTAACTAGATCAAGTTTCTCTCTTTATTAATTACAATATAGTAATTGACAAGGCTAAACCCGAAATATGTTTCTTTTTTAGTCATTTAAATTCTCAACAGGTATGTCATATAAAGTAAATTTCATTAATTTCCAATATACACTTCCAATAAAAGTTGCTTGATTGAAATACATTTGTGTGAATGCATGTAATCTTTTCACCAAGTGATATTTCAAAATAATTAACAATTTTTTAGAAAAACGAAAACTAAGATTAAATTTTTGCCATAATAGTTAAATGGAGCTGAAACTTGGAGAACTAATACAATTATCATCAAAAAGGTGCAAGTATTTAAAACAGTTGTCTACACAAGATACTCAATATCTTTTGGTCGGATACCATCAACAACAGCCAACTAAGAGAGAAACAAATCAAGTTCCAACTGAGGAGGAAGTTAGGAAAAGATGTTGGAATCGGACAGGACATCAAATTCTGAATCTTCCATACGAATATCAAGACAGTCAGTTCTACTGTACGGAGCTGAAACTACTAGCTGAGAACTACAGTTACCATCAAAGTGGTACATGTTTTTCTAAATAATTGTCTGCACAAGATACTCAGTGTCTGTTGATCGGACACTATCAGCAACGGTCTACTGTGAGAGAGAACAAACCAGTTTTGATTTGAAGAGGAAAGTAGGAAAAGACGTTGGAATCGGATCGGACATACATTTTGGAAATCATCAAACTGCATCACGGGTTAAGCGCTAACTAGGAATCGTGAGGGGAAATGGAAAAGAAGAAGGCGGAAGAACACACTGTGCCAATAATTGGAAGCAGACATGAGAGAGATGATTAGTAACTGGGAAGAACTGAAAAGGACTACCCAGGACGGGGTTGAATGGAGAGTGCTGGTGAGCGGCCTATGCTCCTTAACGAGGGGTAATAGGCGTAAGTAAGTTTAATAATTAAATATACATTTAAATATTTCCAGTAATTTACGAATAGGTAGTTTATTAAAAACGCCGATAAATCCGATGAAGGAGATCCAACTTCGAAAGCGTTACAACCTACTGACCCCATAAGACTTGCTTTACTAGACAAATGGTGATTTTACTGCAGTTTTCTACTGCACTCACGGGGGAGATGGGATTATTTCCACGTAATCACGCAAAGCAACTCCGAAACAATTATAGCGATGAACTTGAATTAAAAAGTGGAAAGCGAATTCCTAAACAAGAAAAGGCCATTTGACCTAATTACGTAATTTATTCAACACAGAAATAGACTATTCGACCAGTTCTCTTCTCACGACTACATTTGTAACTTAGTTACTTACTTACGCCTGTTACCCCATGTCGAAGTGCATGGCCGGCCACACCCATTCACCATCCAACCCTGTCCTGGGCAATCCTTTTCAGTTCTTCCCAGTTACTAATCATCTCTCTCATGTCTGCTTCCAATTATTGGCACAGTGTGTTCTTCCGCCTTCTTCTTTTCCATTTCCCCTCACGATTCCTAGTTAGCGCTTAACCCGTGATGCAGTTTGATGATTTCCAAAATGTATGTCCGATCCGATTCCAACGTCTTTTCCTACTTTCCTCTTCAAATCAAAACTGGTTTGTTCTCTCTCACAGTAGACCGTTGCTGATAGTGTCCGATCAACAGACACTGAGTATCTTGTGCAGACAATTATTTAGAAAAACATGTACCACTTTGATGGTAACTGTAGTTCTCAGCTAGTAGTTTCAGCTCCGTACAGTAGAACTGACTGTCTTGATATTCGTATGGAAGATTCAGAATTTGATGTGGACTTAAAGACAGTTGTTTTGAGTTGCGTATGTTTTTCAACTGAAGGAATGCTGTCCTCAATCCGCCTTCACATCTGCATCAGATCCTCCTTGTTCATTCATGATGCTATCCAGGCACGTGAAATTTTCCACCCCTTTTCACAATTTCCCAATCAAGTGGGATTGGGTTGATGTTCTCCATGTTGACTTGCACGATCTTGATTTTTCCATTGTGTATGTTGAGGCCTACTGATCCAGAAGCTGCTGCTGCTACACTGGTTGTCATGGCCTGCATTTGTCGGTGTGTATGGGAGAGAAGAACTAGGTCATCTGTGAAGTCCAAATCCTTTAGTACATCCACGGTCTCCAGTGTATTCTGTGCTCTCCTACAGATATGGAGGTCTTCGTAATCTAGTCAATCACCAGAAGAAAGCGAAATGACGAGAGTAAGCAGCCTTGTCTGACACCGGTCATCAGTTGGAGTTCATATTTCAGCTGTCCGCCATGCACCACCTTGCACTGTAGTCAGTCGTATGACTTCTAGATGATGTTGACGATCTTCTCAGATATTCACACCATAGTGTCGAAGACGTTTCCATAAGGTCCTCCTGTCCACACTGTTAAACGTCTTCTCATAGTCAACGAAGTTGATCTATAATGACGAGTTCCATTCAATTGATTGTTCAACAATGATCCGTAGTGTCGCAATTCAGTCTGTGAACGATCGACCCTACGGAATCCGGTCTGTTGATCTCGAACCTGGACGTCAATTGAATCTTTCATCTGGTACAACAATACTCTGTTTTAAACATTTCCTGGTAGTGATATTAGTGTGACGCCTCTTTAGTTCTCACGTTTGCTTAGATCTCCTTTCTTCGGTATCTTCATGACGAGTCCTTCTCTCCAGTCTGTCAATGGCACTTGTTCTTCCTCCCAGATCATCTCAGTCGATGAAAATTCACAACCTTATCAACTGATTTACCATCATTCCCTATTACCCTGCGTCTAGCCTCACTACTACTTTCTAGGTTATCCCAAAGATGCGAGCAATATTTCTAAGACATCTGTGATCAAATACTAGTAACTTACGTGTATCCTCATCCCTTAATGGCCACGTGTCGCAGCCTTAAAATGAAACAGAACGAATTGCTGCGCAGTATACTAGTTTTTTAATTGATAGGCGGATATCTCGTCTTCGCCATAGATGACGTAAGTTGGCAAAAGCCAAACAAGTTTTTTGAATCCATGACGAGATTTCCTCATATACCACACCATAAGTATTGATGGACTGTCATGATAAGCGAAGCGGTCAGTGTGTTCAAATACTTGACTCCCTATCATTAATTCGGGATCTGACGCAAGCCAATTCTGAACCTACCTTTTCCACTTAGGTGGAGAGATACGCATCCCAAACGTTCTGACAGTGTTGCTCAGTATTACCCAAAGACAGAATTTTATAGGCGTCTTCACCACATACCCGACAAGTCGACCCCTTGGTAGGAGATCGAAACCCGAGAATCCAGATAATGAGGACATCATTTTCAGTAGTAGGTCTATGATAAAATTAAACAAAGATAAAAACAGTGGACAGCCTTTCCCTGGACCACTTTAGGTTGCGAAATCAGATGGCAGTTCACCATAAGCTCTCACTAGATTAGTAGTGTTCGAGTAAAGAACCTTCACAAGGTTTACTTACTTCTGAGGTACGTCTTTCAATGAAAGACAATGCCGTACAACCTCTCGATCTTCCGAGTCAAGTGCTGCTTTTAAGTCAAGAAAAACATTGTTGGATGCCGACAAGCATGTCTATGTTCTAAAATCTGACGAATGGTGAATGTGTGGTCAATGTAGCCATGATCAATTCTGAAGTTAGCCTAGTTTTCGCGTATTTTCAGTTCACGAGTCTTTGTTAGGCGTCCGATAATTATTGATGCTAATAATTTAGACGTTATACTGATTGAACTATTTCCTTCAACAAGACAGCACCGCTGACAATATGCAATACCCTACTCTTTCATCGTGGTACACGACCGTCAATAACGATAAAACAGCTACAGCAGGGTGAAAACTAAATAATTGAAAAACAAAAAGTTGTAACGAATTGGGAATCGCAGAATATGGCGGAAGACAAAGAACCGATACGCCTGCGTCATTCCAAACAACTTCCACTCATGAAACTGATAATTCACAACAATAATTTATGATAATCACGTGCACTCCGACCAGGTGCTAGTCTACACTACACTTGTTAACATTGTTAAGTCCAATTGTCAGTCACTTCATGGATTGATCCCATGTTTGTTTTGGCCGATACTAGCTTTCTTCTAGACTACTCCTACACCTGAAAACGTCGGTCGTAGAGGTAGACAGTAATTAGAAATACGTGACACGTCCCAACCACTTCAGTTAGTGGAGATCTACTATCTCATAAATCCACTTTCCATCCTTACCTAGTACCTTATTTCTAACCATACCATACGTACGGACACTAATTGTCAACTGATTAAGTGCGGATTGCATGGTTTGGGTATCATCACACAGTAACACAATATCATTCGTATACTCACGGTTCAAAAGTCTTTCTTCAGGCAACAGATCCACACCGTTATTAACTACATCCATTAGAGCTGTTTCCAGAACGTCATCGATAGCGAAAATGAAGAGGAATGATGAGGTTGGGCAACTCTGCTTGACCCCACTGCTTGAATGAAATAGTGGAGATAGGTGGTTGTCCGAGGGCACGCCTTACTTCTGTAACAACTCTCTACAGTCATCAGTACGGCTTCTCTCTCAAACTTTAAGCTCTTGCTTTTAGTTTTAACTTTCTCCAACCAACCTGCCTGGCATGGTAGGACCTAAAGTAACATGTGCTCCAACCAACATAGCTCGGTTGAATCATCACGATAGGCAATCCCGACCCCCGCATCAAAGTAGCAGCTACAGTCAAGTGCTTTTTCATTACTTTATGGTTTTATGGAACAAGACAACTCACACCACCTCTCTTCATTCCTTTTGTTTATTTTCGTTATTTTAGCAAACAGAAGCAATAGTAACAAAGGAAAAGCATATCTAAACATTAGGTACACGCTCAAAGTAACGAGTAATGGCAGACAACAGTTATATTTTGGCGACTGCATTTTAAAACATCTAATTTACACTGGATCTCAACATTATAAAGGTGGATACTAAAAGATTAGAAATCATGAAAGCAGAAACTTAAACATATACACGGTGCATATAGCTATTTAATAAAAATACGCAACTTATAAAACATTTGAGTTTCTAAACATGAAACTATTGAATGCCTGCATATGGCAAAAAAACAGAAGTGAAAAAATACTTATCGAAATGTGAGTGTACAAAGAAATAAATTAATTTGAAAAATAATTGTAATACTTTTACATTCACTAGGCAAAAACTTCAGCATAAAAGAGGAAAACAAAAATATTAATCCTATTGGTTGTTGTTATTTTTTAAAATTCTTTCACCTAAATGTTACAGCATCAAGTTAAGTGGAAATAAATAAACATACTAAATTCTGTACAAGCGACATAATGTTACTACAGGAAATATTATGAGACAAACAATTTACAGAAAATAGGATAGATATAGTTTAGGAATCATCGGATTTGACAGAAAAACGTAGGAAGATCAAAGTAACAATATTTCTAATACTAACTTCTATAAAAAATATCGACAACTGCAAACGAACTCACATCGGTAATAAACGTAACTCGAACATGACTTCCTTGGCTACGCTAACCAATTAACATCATAATTACAGAAATGTATATCGAAAATGAAGATAAGAATAATAAAAACCTTCATTGTCATCGCCCAATTTGAGTAGCGATCCAATCTAAACCTTGGGGAAGCCTAGAAACAAGTGGTAGTAATAATATCTTAATTTAAAAACAAAAAGAGTAATACAAAATAATACTCAACTAAAAATTCAAAGAGTCTCATTTGAAATGAACTTACTCTAGTAATATACCTGAAAATATATAAAGCTTTGATGGGAGATTGATTGCGAACTAAGAAATTCATTTTGTAACCATTAGCACATCTAAACAAGTTCCACTCGTGTACACTATAGCCAATAATAGCACTGTCAAACTGGTTTCGTCTGATATATATAAACAACTGAAATAGGGAAGATCCTATTTCCGGTGTCGTCTACACAACCACAAAAAAGTATCCGGTAGATAATAGTAAGCCAGTTTACATAACCAAGAGGATCACAACAGAACTGAATAATGCCATGGGTAATGCTTTCATGCATCATATAGAAGGTTTATCCTAAGTCACTTCCTCAGCAAACCTTAATGAGAGGGACTGCGCTTTTCCTAAGAATAGAGATATACTTTTTATTTATTTGAACATAAGTAGTGGTACAAAGGGGCACAAAATACATATGTGCCACACAATAACAATGAGAACGTAAAATGTGTATGAGAAAAAAAGAGAACAGTAACTAACAGAAATTAGTGTATGATAGTGAAACAATAATAATAGGAGAGGCATTACTAACATGGTGTTGCCAATGGATGTCAGCAATCCTTCAGAGACAACGATGATCGAACACAGAGAGTCGTCTAACATCCTCAACTCGGAGAGACCAGGTTTCACAAGCATAGAGCAAAACTGCTCTCACCGACGCGTTGTAGATCCGACCTTTTACAACCAGACTAACATCACGAAGGTGCCAAAGGTGGCCCAGATTGGCATAAGCCGCTCTGGCTTTCATTATATGTGAATCGATCTCATCACTCACGCCACCACCAGCACTCATACAGCTACCCAGATACACGAACTTCTCGACTACTTCTATCTGCTCACCATCCAGAGTGAGTACAGGATTAGAATCCTGCCAGTCTTGTAGAAGTACTTTGCACTTCGAAGGTGCAAAGCACATACCATACCTACGGACACTGATTGCCAACTGATTAAGTGCGGATTGCATGGTTTGGGTATCATCACACAGTAAGACAATATCGTCCGCATACTCAAGGTCGAGAAGTCTTTCTTCAGGCAACAGATCCACACCGTTATTAACTACATCCATCAGAGCTGTTTCCAGAATGTCATCAATAGCAAAGTTGAAGAGGAATGGTGAGATTGGGCAACTTTGCTTAACCCCATTGCTCGAATGGATCAATGGAGAGAGGTGATTGTATGCCCTCACTCTGCCTGAGCTGTTTGTATATAGGGCTCTTAAGATGTTGATATACTCCTCAGGCACACCCTTCTTCAATAGACAATCCCAGATAACAGTCCTGTCCAACGAATCGAAGGCAGCCCTGATGTCAAGAAACACTACGATTGTTGGCGTTTGATAAGTATGGCGGTCTTCTAACATTTGGCGGAGGGTGAAGATATGATCAATACATCCTCGATCATAACGAAACCCAGCCTGCTCCTCGCGAGTCAACCTTTCTCGGGTTTTGAACAACCTACGAAGTATGACGGAAGCCGATAGCTTGGACGCAGTCGGAAGTAGACTTATCCCCCGATAGTTGTTACAGGAACGACGTGAACCCTTTTTAAAGATAGGGACAACTATCGACTCATTCCATGACGTTGGTACACTCTCTAGCTCCCAAACCTTTGTAAACAACTCAGACATCGTTTACCGGAAAGTTACCGCCATCTTTAAAAGGGACGGAGGTAAGTCATCCGGCCTATTGAGTTGTAGCGCTTCAAGAGTTGGAGTTCCTTGCGGACTTTCGTCTCGTTAGGTGGGTCAGTCGTCACAGACCACGGAGAGCAAGACAGTCCGAACGATGCTACCGGGGCAGCAGATCCGGCCGTTGCTGCTACCTTTACGTGGTGGCCGGGCTTGCCTATCGTGATGAACCAATCAAGCTATACTGGCTGGAAAAATCGTTCCCCAAGGTCCTACGATGCCAGACAGGTCGGTTGAAGAGCGGCAAACACGAGGTCCGAGGGCGAAGTCGTACTGCCGATTGTACGGAGGTGCGACGGCAGTAGGATGTTTCCTTCAGACAACCAACACAACAGTGACGCTGCCTTCCCATAAGGAAGGGTGCGGTTAGAAAAGGTCGACCCTTATCCCACGGATATCCGTCTCCGACGGTAAGATCTCAACAAGTACGGATCTAACACGAAAATTACGCATAAAAACGTTGTGTGTGATCGACCTCAAGCAGTTGTCACTTGGGCACTGCGGCCATGCTCTCAGGTCGCTAAGACCACCCCTAACCCAATCTCCTTTTCAGGTACCTTCAGAAGGGGGCAGTAGACCAGTTAGACTGTCCGTCGAAAACTCTGTACATCGTCCAAGACGTCAATAGATGTTAGTGATTGGCATCCCGTCAGCTTCACAGATTGTTTCGCCCACACCAAACTTCTTGCTGCCAATGGATCGGATGAGTTAAAAGAGCTTCCGGAGGTTACCAGATACAACTGCTTTTTCCAACTCATTGGCACGCTCCGACCACCAGGCTTCTAGCTCCTTACACAAGCTCTGATTAATTTCATTAAGTAACAATTTCTGTTTGCGGTCGAACTTGCGGTCATTTGGAGTAGACCGACGAGATTCAATCAATTGTAAGGAACCTGAAGAAGTCCAGTGCCCATGAACAGGACGTTTCGCGAAGCCGCAGACGACTTTACTCGCCAGTTTCATGGCGTAATGCAATTGCAACCAATGCTCATATATACTTTTCGGTAAGATGGCAGCTAGCCTTGAGCCTAGCTCGGTTAGATATTTAGTCGCAACAGAAGATGCAATCAAGTTACTGGCATCGATCCGTTTAGGTCGACGAATTTGTTGGCTACTGAAAAGTAGGTGAGATAAGCGCAAACAAGGGAATAATCAGAGTTCATATAGGTACTCCAAAATGAGCGACAGTCTTGTACACAACCACGCTAGTGGTAGCTCATCGCGATGTGTCAATCTGAGTCCAGGCTTGAGATGCAAAGGGAGGATGCCAGGTGGCCTATCAACGACGACTGTACCAGTAGTTAGTACTTATTATTCATTACTTGAACACAAATATTGGTACAAAAGGGCACTGAATACATATCAGCCACACAAGTCACTTGATTTGTGTGTGGGTTATAATACTGCCAGGGTTCCCAAATCGAAACGAGTGGTTTTCTCAAGGGACCACCCCGGAGCCTTTGACCTAAAGCTCTAATCCACAAGGCAGGTACTGCACTTGAGTCTTAAATACGGGTTTCGGATAGACAACAGACGTCAATATAGTATCTACACATTTCAGTAAAACTCTAACCAATATCTAGCAGTCTCAAGATGAAGCGGGGAAGTTTTAGAATCGATAATAACGTTTGAGACAACTGAAAATTTTCTGTGATAGAAGACAGTAATAGTATGTTGTATGGTATTTTGGCAGACAAATAAAAGCGGAGTACTTCAAAATACAGTGATCCTCTACTCTTATTAATCTAAGTGAATTCACCAACAGTTCATTTTGATACATATGAACAATGTTAAGTTATGAAAAATGTAGACGATAACGACAAAATAGCTACAAGCCAACTTGATTGATCGGTTTAGGCTCTAAATTTAGTTTTTGGATGTTAGGAAAACATCTACTATCTAAAGGTATTTAGGCAGTATTTTAAGGCTAAGAAACTAGTTGGACTCTGTTGGGGACGATATATCCCAGAAACTCATATTTGTAATTTTATCATATCGATTAACTGATTAAATAGCAGTCAACTGATGAACTCATTTACTAATGTTTAAAAATTTCCTATGACAATATCGATTATATATATTTGTATATATGTCTTAAATTGTGTTTGTGGGCTCGCTCGTTTTCTGGCTGTTTGCAGAAGATATTTTCCATACCAAGCTTGGACTTCTCCTTCTAGGTAGCGGGGCTGGAACACATCAATAGCTAGATTACTAGTCTTTGGTCACTGAGTCTTGTTCTCGTTCGCAGATTAAGTGAACTCGTGAAGCTTCAAACCTAACAGACTCTTCATTTATCACAGTAATTAAAGATACAATCACTAATTTCAAACCCACAATAAATGTTAAAGATTAGTCGATAGAGACGAAAAGATTATTCGGTGAACGACTAGACACTATTTGTAGTACAGTATTTAACTGGACGGTTCAAACGTGATCTTTTGCCTTTCCTGAGATAGCACACCACAAAGAAACATTCGTGAACAGAAAATCCTTCCCAGCTCTGATTCTTTATTACATATGGATTTCCAGACAAGGTAGAAGAATCTTGTATACGAATAATATCTTGTACCGTAGTCCAGAATTTGGCACATAAATTCTCCTGATTCAGATGACATTTATAGATGTTATAATTTTTTCGAAAGACAATGAACTTGACAAAGAAATGTTAATGGAACTAGATAAATGTTTTTACTGCTTCAAAGATAATCAGAATGCATGGCTGTGACGCATAGATAAAGTGTAGTCTGTGTAAAGCAGTTTGCAAGACCGGCAAGTGCAATAACGTGACGTTAGGCAAAATGATGACAGTTTCGTAATACTACCAACCTTGAAGCAAGCAAAAGTCACACAATTCGCTTTGATTTTTGGACATATTCGTCATCTTATGAAACATTTCATACGTTTTAAACATATGTACGTTCCCATGAAACGTAATAAAGATAAAACCTTGATAAACGGAACCAAAATTAGTACATGAAGTAAACGTAAAATCAACAAAATACATGTACTTGTCATGAACACAAAACTGAATGGATAAAAAACCAAAATAAATGACGAACCCTTCTCCTGTGAGTGCACAACAAGGCTGTACATGCCATGGGTGGTCCCTAATAGACGTAAGGTTTAGATTGTGACTGATTTCAGCAACAGACATGCAGCCAGAGACATCTTGTTTATTGGCAAAAATCAACATTTTCGAGCGTTTCAACTCCTAAAATAAACTAGACATCGTATTTTACTTACCTCAGCAACTAGTAGTTTACACAGCTCCTGTTTAGTCAGGTATAGACGTTCTCGATCTGTACTGTCAACAACTAAAATGACAAACTACATGCAGTTAACATATATTTGAAAAATACGTCTGAGCCTGCGAAGTATGTGGTCCAGGAAGCCCTAACAGAAGTCTGTCCACCAATATCCCACATTACGAAATGCAGATTCTTCCACTTTACTTCCTCAACATTGCTTCCAATGGTGGGAGAAGTCTGTACAGCTTCTTTGAGAACGAACTGGTACAAAATAGTAGATTTTCCAGCATTATCCAACCCCAAAATTATGACTTTATAATCTCGAGAGTTGAAAAGCCTCCAAAACTTTGTGAACAATAAGCCCATCACCCATGTGGCTAAAATTTAAAAACCCTCCATGCATTCCTATATGTTTTTTGCAATTAATACTAAAAGTGCTGAGGAACATTAAAAAATATGATATTATTTATTGTTTGCATATGTCAATAATGATGTTGATCAACGCTTGTTTATCCTGCAGCTGATTCAGCGGGTTAATCGGGTTATGTTAAAATGGCTAAGGCTCCAAATGGTACAAAGGATTACGATGAAATGTATAAGCTTTTACTTGTTGGCGATTCATCCGTTGGTAAAACAAACCTTCTCCTTCGGTTTTCCGATAATAGTTTCAGCAAAACCTTTATAGCGACCATAGGTAATGTATTGTCATGGTACACACATAACTTTTAAGGCATTGACTTCAAAGTTCGCACCATAGAAATTGATGGGAAAAAAATTAAGTTGCAGATATGGGACACTGCCGGTCAGGAGCGTTTTCGAACTATAACAACGGCTTATTATCGTGGTGCGATGGTAAGTTGTGACAAAGTTCGCACTTATTTCCTAGGGTATCATGCTTGTTTACGATGTTACTAATATAGATTCTTACCATAATATCACTACCTGGATGAACAACATAACCGAGGTAAGTCTTTAAAAGTATCATGCTTATGTCACCCTGCTAGGCACTGCACTAGAGTATTTTTACATAGACCACCGTTTAACATAAAGCAAGCGGACTTGGTTAGCTCCTTCAACTTTCAGGATTATTCTGTAAACCCAATCATGTGATGCGCAGAGAGTGCGATAACTTCACATCGAAGTATGGGGTCATTTTACGACATCTATTCAAGGAACAAACTTCCAGTTTGTAACCGAAGGACCTAGTTCATTTTTAGGTTTTCTTAGCAAAGTCAAACTACTAATTTATGCTTATAATGTTTAATCCAATTACAAACTTATTGGAACCGGAAAAGTGAACAAAATGTCGGTCAGTGAGTAGACTTAGAACCTAGTACTCTTGTACATCGATCCAAGCCACCAAATCCCATTACCACGGAGATAAAATTGTGATGCTAGAACCCAGAATAATAGAGGCAGCAGTTTCAATGGTACTACAAAAGGTTACATATTGAAAATACTATTCGAGAGTAAAATATAAATTAGTGATATAAAAACCAAAGAAGTTGTAACCAATCAGGAATCGCAGAATATGGAGGAAGACAAAGAACCGATACACCTGCGTCATTCCAAACAATTTTCACTCATCTCATTCATAGTTCACAACCATTAATTGTGATAGTCACGTGGACATTGCTGAGTCCAATTTTCAGTCACTTCACGGACTGATCCCATGTTTTGTTTTGGCCGACACTAGCTTTCTTTCAGACTACTTCTACACTCGAAAACGTGGGTCGTAGAGGTAGACAGTAGTTGGAAATGTGTAACACATCCCAACCACCTCAGTTGGTGAAGATTGACTGCATCATCAATCCGCTTCTCATCCTTACCTACTAGCTTATTCCTAACCCACTCATCGCTTACTCCGTGGTCCCAAAATACACGAGCAATGCTTCGAAGACACCTATGGCCTGATACCAATAACCTACGAATATCCCCCATTTCTAATGGCCATGTTTCACATCCATAAAGTGGAACGGAGAAAACTAGTGCGCAGTGAACTCCCTCTTTGCTTGAAAGACATATCTCGCCTACACTGAAAGTGACGCACCTTAGCGATAGTCAATCGACCCTTATGAATCCGTGACGAGATTTCCTCGGACACCACACCATCAGTATTGATGAGACTCTCAAGATAAGTGGAGCGGTAGATGCGTTCAAATACTTCACTTCCTATCATTAATTCGGGTTCTGATGCAAGCCAATCGTGAAGTGACATTCTGCGCCTGAAGAAAGAGAACCCCATCTCAAACATGTTTTCATTGTTGCTTGAGATGGTCAGAAGACTGTGTTTTGTCAGCGTCTTCATCAAACAGGACTGCATCATCTGTGTATTCTAAGTCAACAAGTGAATCTCGTAGCCGAAGGTCAACCCCTGAAAAGCCATGCGATGAAAGTTTTGTATTTAAAAGCATGCCTATGACGAAGTTAAATAGAAATGAGAAAACAAAACAACCCTGACAAACACCACTTGAAGTAACCAATTCCGATAGCAGTTCGCCATTAGCCCTGGTTCGACTAGCAGTGTTCGAGTAGAGAACCTGTACAAGGTTAATCTACTTTTTTGGGACGCCTTTGAACAACAGACACTGCCACAGAACCTCATGGTCAATAGAGTTGGACGTCGAGAAGTATATTCGTGTTCTCGAGTCTACCAAAGGGTGAATATTTGGTCTATGCATTCAGGTTCGAGTCTGAAGTCGGTCTGGTTTTTTCGGGTTCGTTCTTCACGATCTCTAGTTAAACATCGAAGTATTATTGAGGTTAATATTTTAAACACTATATTGGGTAAACTGGTTCCTCTGTGATTGTCACAAGGGGATTTTTATCCTTTCTTATAGACTGGGACCAATCAGAGGATTACGTCCAGTCCCCAGATTCTAGCTAAAAGCCTAGTTGACCTGACTGCTAAAACTGGACCATCAGGCCCTGCTGCTGTCCATCGCTTTAGATTACTTATAGCCTTTTCAACCTCACCAAGAGTTGGATAACTTACATCACAGAGTTACACTTAAACTTGATTTGTTATAATAGGCTTGTTATTCTTATGATTTGTCCATCAGTTCAATCTCCTGAATTGAGACTGAATGATATCCCCATATTTTACCGAGATAGTTCCGCTAACACCTGGATTCTTAGTACCTGTCTCCTCGATTAGTTTGAACAGTTGCACACTGTTACCTATCACTACTGTCTTCTCCATTTTTTCCGCTCGTGCTACCCACCATACAAAGCTACCTCGAGATGAATATCACTTTCACGGTCGACTATCTTTCTCTAGTTGTCCCTGAAAAATGTTCCCAACTTTCTCATTATTAAGTCGAACTCTAGGGAGTTTTCTTGCTGTGGTTTTTCTACGTTCAGTAAGATGCAGATGTGATGGATATTACTAAACAAAATATGTGATCGTGGAATAAGATTTGGAATGTACTCTTGTTATAATATTAAAACTACATAAAAGTCTACCCTTTATTCAATGACTAAGCAGAAGATACCACCACTGCTTATAGATTCTAACCGTTTAGAGTTAATTACGCAATCACTATCTGTACTAACTGTCAAACTCTGTTTATCCCCTCTGAGTTGTTTTGATGTGGCTAAAAAGCATACATAATATCCAGTTTCTTTTCTTGTCACTTCATTATGAATAGTTCGCATCTTAATCTGCCGTAAGTTAATATGGAAAAATCGTAATTTTCGAACCGCGTGCCTTAAACATTGTCTGTGAAACTGTTCCCACATTTTTCAGGATATGCGTCACTTTTCAGTCTATAGGATATAGTCTTCACAGTGTCCTAGCATAGGTCTTACCAATTTTTCGTGTTCTTACCTGTCAGTAACCCCATATCTTAGTCTGACCACCCTAACTTTCTTCCAACCTAATACACTGGTAATCATAGTCTGTCGGGGTTGGTGACAGTTGAGTATGCGTAACACATGTCCAACATATAGTTTGGATAGCCGTCTCAGCAGATCTCGAAGTGCATTTCGGGAACTCGAATCTTTAGACCTGGCAGCACATGTGGAAAAAGTCGAGGACAAAGGATAAGAGTTGATAGTGGAAGCAGAAGTGTATCGTAATAAAAATGGGGTTTGATTATAAATTAGTAAATCTCGCATGTTTTAAGAGGTGTCAGGGTGGTTATCACTTCCTAACTACACACCTTAAAAGGATACTTTTTTGAGGTACCTAACAAGCGAACTGGATTAATAGCACTCTTAGCAACGTGGAAGTATGACTGAAGAACCCTGGAAGCAACTGATTGCATTTACCTTTTTGAACTGATCCACAAGTTTGCTCCGTACTTCTGAGGTAACACCGCTGAGGGAGACAACCTCTGTAGTACAATGTGTGATTTTCTCACGGTTGACTTTCTGTACACCCCCTTTTTCGGTATGGCAGAGCACCATTTGTGCTTGTCATCTGAAAAGAAAATCTCACTATCGTCATCCCTATACAATCAGAAGGTTGTTGCCTTTCGTGTTAGAACCTGGAGAAACGAATGTTCCGGTCAAGTTGGGTCATCACAATATACAAGTCTTACTATCCCATTAAGGTAGAAGTTACAGTAGCTGACAACCTCTTCCAAATGCGATCATACAGTTACGCTCAAACTTAATTTGTTATAATCGGCCTGTTGTTGTTATAATCTTCACTTCGATAAACAATTCTTTTTTAGCATACTAATGAAGGCGTAGCGAAGATGCTACTTGGAAATAAATGCGATCTGGAAGCACAAAGAGTAGTAAAGTATGAAAATGGTTATAAGGTTAGTAAAAGTATTCATCCATTTTAAAAGTATGGATATGTTCTGTATGTCAGATAACCATATTTTACTAAATATATGGTATTAAATAAACCAATTAGTGATAAGCTTATTTCAAATAACATTCAATCGTGATTTTATTCTTAGACTCGCTTGTACAGTAAATACAAGTTTTCACTCAGTTATTTACGTACCTGAATTTCAACCACTGTCACAATTGTAAGCCCAAGTTACTCTAGACGGTTAGTACAAGCATCATAGGACTTGACACAAATATACATCAGTTTAAGTTGCAACACTTCATATCAAAACACTAACAGTAATCTAAAGCATCGAAATAACATTACCAGTGATAGCGACTAATTAAATACAAGGAGTGTAGTTCAAAAAATACGGTAGTATCTTTAGTGCTTAAACAACTGACATGACCCATAATACAAGGCAGTATGTTTTCTTAGTGAATCTAAACTGATCGATTATTTAAATCATGATCAACATTCACAGTTGTTCTCCATCATACTCCCCTTTAAAGGTATTTAAGCCAGGAGAAATTTTAAGATAACTTTCCACAAACAGCAACAGGGTGTTTTGTGTATGAATTTTATTGACTTGTTTGGATTGTTACCTGTTACATCGTTTTCGTCTATGAAACCAGAGTAGTTGTGACGAGGTTTATACGTGAGACTCAATTGTATTGGTCATTCATATAAGATTATAAATTAGTAAGTCCACTTATTTTTCTTCTAAGTTTTTCCGCTATTTCTCTACAGCTCGCCCAATCATATGGAATCAGTTTTATTGAGACTAGTGCTAAAGGAGGTATTAACGTCTCTGAAGCGTTTACAATCTTGGCCCGAAAAATAAAAACGAAGAGGGAGCAGGAGGCTGTAAGTTTATATATTGTGAGCAGTCCCCGTTATTTTATTCAGTATATGTGTATATATACCAGTATTTAACTTTCGTCTACAATATGGTACCAAAACAGAGCACTACATTTTAGTACATTAACCTCTAGAAGACTTGTAAATGTCTTTTTGTTATTATCATTATGTAAGCTTACAAAGTGAAGAAATTTACAAACAGCATAACTGTACATTGATACTGGGGATTATTTAGTGTCCTGGAGTCAGTTTAAACTTATATCAGGTTAAAAAAACGAAGATTATGTTGCTTATGTTTCCTGTAATTAAAGTTAGATGTTATGTTAGTCAGTTATAGTCAACGTAAGACCTGACACAGATGTACATCGACTCAAGGTCCCGCCCCACTTGTGCTCAAAGACATTAAATCATGTCTAAATTTCATCTGCACTTAAAAAACTTTATATCTAGGGTATATCACTAGCACTGACTATGTGCCTTATAACATCGTAACCATATTTGTGTGTATCTGTAATTGTTAGTTGGATAGTTGTGTTCCTGTGGCTTCATAGGAATCAAGTTACAGACCTAAGTAATAACCTTTGAACTCAGGCATCAAAAGTTATATAACCCATCACCACAACGTTTATTCTAATTTTCTTGTCTTTTTTATTGACTTCATCTAAAACGTGTTATACGAGTATGAAACCAAACTTTTCTTATTAAAGGTATAACTTTGTTTGCGGTTTTAACGGAACTTCAAGTCGATCTTATTTAATGTGGGCTTTTTTTGTTTGATTTTCAGAACCTTAATAACCCACCTAGAGAAGACATAAGAAATATAACCAGCAAACGACCCAAACGCCTAATATGGGGATGCTCAATATTGTAAATGGCTTCTCCATTAATTTTTCCAAGAAACATCTTTTAGACATGATCTATCCTGCACTCAAACATTGAACAATTCTTGATTTTAGGGATCTTTATTTGGTGCCTTTTATAGCCTCATTTCTTCGTCGTCCCTTGCTTGTATTTGACACATGGTTTCCATCGTCCCCATCATACAGTTTCGTTTATTGTCTTCAAGTATCTACTTTTACCTTTATAAAAACATTATATCTTATCAGCAAATTGCTTTTTCCGTCTAAGTTCTAATTTTTTCCTTTTGTTGTTACGAGTCAAGCCGGTTTTATCACTTAATTAGAATTAGTTGAAATAATGTTTGTGTTGTTTGGTTTCTTTCACCTCATTGTTAGTTTACACTAACGTGCAAATTTTCATAATTGTTTTATTTTTTGTCTCAAGATCACTAGTTTCTCAGTGATTGTAAATAATCCATTTTGGCACGTATTCCTACTCCTTTCAAAACCTGATTCTGTCCTACTTTTCCAAAACTTGTTAAATTGCTAAACTATGTATATATATATGTTGTTAATTTGGCCCCATATTCTCTGACTTTATTTTTGGGAACCTATTATGGTGTAATTCTGAAGCTTTATTTTGAGCGTTTTTATCTGCGCGTTTGCGCTGTGTTAGTATTATATGCATCTGCATCTATATGAAAATACATTTAATCATATTTTTAGACCGACAAAACCTTGAAATTCTGTCTACAGTTTCACTTACAGAACATGTACACCTATTTATGGCTTCTTGTCAAGCCGTTATAGATTATACTTATAAATCTCTCTGTTAGGCACAATATATCATCTGTACTAGGAGTTGGTCATGCCGGTTTCAGTTGATTTCTTCATTTGATTACATTTCAAATAAAAGTAACTGTTTCTCAAAAAAATGTAAGCTTTTTTTAAGCATATGATTTTCATTATTGGTCTTCTATTATCAGAATTTCCTAAGGAATTCTCGATAAAGTTGTTTCTCGTCTTTCTGTCTTGCTTTTTTCATTTAATCTACCGCCTCATCACTTTTCAGATTATATGCAATACTAAATGAGCACTATTATGTTACTCTGTTTTATTTTTCATTTTGGCTAATATATTTAACACTGATTATAATAAAACTTATCTTCAAGTTTTTCTGATATTAACTATTAGTGTGTAAATTTCTAACTCCGAAACCCTAGATATTACACAAATCTGTTATACTAATAATTATGCGTCAAGTCGCATCCTAGCGTAAGTTATATGTTAACGTGAAATATGGCTGAAGTGACGTCATGTGCAATGTAAGCCCCCAAATGCCCTGGTACGGCCGACGGTGAGAAATTATGTTCTCCCTCTTGAATGGCCACGCGTATACAGCCACTCACAGGTAAGTCTTACTGCCTTCTCGTGGCGAGAGAATGAAAAGCGAATGTCCGGTGCATTAACCGGGTTGGTGGACATGGAGAGTCCACCTAGGAGAATTGGAAAACCCTGATTCCAAACCAATGGTGCACATGGGCTCCAGGTCCTGAAGGAACCATTGGCGTATGATCTTGTTGGTCATCGGTCACCATGGGACTGCACCTCCTAACGTTGCTCCACTCCCTTGTGGATTAGACCTTCAAGTCAAAGGCTTGGGGTGTGGCCTCCTAAGAAAACTACCTGCTTCGGTTTGGGCACCGGGGCAGTATCACAAATTAATGATAACTGTTACTGGCCTCATTGTTATTGTGTGGCTCATATGTATTTGGTGCCCCCCTTGTACCAACATGTTGATAATGTAGTGCTCAAGTAAGCTACTCGTTAATTCCAAGTTATATTTGACTCGAAAACCGGTTATCTAAATACCCTAATGTTCTACACATTGTTTTTCCTCAGGTAACCCGACCGTTGTTGCTACCTTGACGTGGTGGTCGGGCTTGCCTATCGTGATGAAGCAACCGAGCTATACTGGCTGGAACAACCGTTCCTCAAGGTCCTACCATGTTAGACAGGTCGGTTGAAGAGCGGTAAGACTAAAAGCAACAAACCCAAGGTCCGAAGGCGAAGTCGTACTGCTGACTGTACAGAGGTGTGACAGCAGTAAGGTGTTTCCTTCAGACAACCAGCATGACAGCGATGCTGCCTTCCCACAAGGAGGGGTGGGGTTAGAAAAGGTCGACCCTGAAAATGCACACCTCGCCTTATCCCACGGATATCCGTCTCCGGCGGTAAGGTCTCAATAAGTACGGAGCTAACACAAAAATTACCCATAACAAGGTCGTGTGTGACCGACCTCAAGCAGTTGTCCCTTGGGCACTGCGGTCACGCTCTCAGTTCACTAAGACCACCTTTAATCCAATTTCCTTTTCAGGTACCTCCAGAAGAACCCTTCCACGGTGTGGGCAACCGGGAAGTGATAACCGCCCTCATACTTCTAACAGCACTCAAGTCCACTGTATTCATAATCAACCATCCTCAGATAAAGGGCTCATTGTTTCTATAAGTGTACCAAACTGCGGATACAGAAAGTGTCCGTCGACAAGGAATAGTCAAAACGAATAGGTTGCTTAGGGTCAGTGACCTAATTAGACAGTTGGTTAGCTCACAAATGCCCTGGTAGGGCCGAAAGGGAGCAGGGTCCACTCTCCCTCTCGAAATGCTCCCACATGGCCACGAGTATATAGCCTCTGCCAGGGAAGTCATTCTCGCTGCGAGGGTGTTGTTTACGAAGTTGAGAGGACGAAA